GCAGGCCCTTTACACACAAAATATCATGCTTTCTAATGTTTTTTACCTAAATGTGCGATCATGCATTACCTCCCCATTGCTCAAGAGACTTATAAAGGAAATAAGAATTTAAGTAAAATTTTTGATATGTTATCTTTTTGTAGTGTGTAATTATAATATTGTGTAAAAGAGCTATTTTTAATAAAAAAAAAAGTAAATCCATGTTTTAACTAAGTGACTGATCCAATATACACACAAATATATATATTCAGACCAGATATAAGGAAAATATTTTTTACAGTGTGGGTGGTGAATCACAGCAACAGGTTGTCCAGAGAGGTGGATGCCCCATCCTGGGAACATTCATGATCAGGGTGGATGGGGCTCTGAGCAACCTGGTCTAGTTGAAGTTGCTCATTGCATGAGTTTGTTAGTGGTCTCAGTGTAATTCAGCAAAAAGAAAAGCTCGACACACTGTTAAAAAAGAAATCATTTGGATGCAAATTTTATCTGCAGTGCAGTATCTTTCAATCAGAAAAAGTTCATGAGACAAAACCTTTGAGCCACTACAAATCTGGCAGGCAACCTATCAAGCTTTTCAGGAAAATGATCTATGAACAGATTCTCTTGTACCCATTCTCAACAGAAGATTGAATTTATATTTTAGATATGAAACATGCAGGGAAAACAAATAATATTTTCTTCAATTTTCTGATTTGGCAAATCTGGCTGATATATCTTTTCTTGTATAAAGGAGGAAAGCACAGTCAGATTGAAGCTTCATGGATGGGCTCTTGGGTGAATTCAGGGTATAAAATGCAAGAGGCTTAACAAATCATTTGGGAGAAAATGACAGCTCTCAGTTTTTCATCCAGTGAACTAACAAGTCAAATTTTACTGAGAAACGTACTAGTAGAAAGATTTGTGAGTCTTTGGAGGAAAAAGAAGGATGGGAGATTAAAACCTATAGTACATATCTGATCTATTACTATAGTGTGGGACTCTTTTACAAAATGCTTTGCTACTCTTAAACATTTAGGAACTCCTTTAACTTCTTTGACAAACAGGTCTATCTTGTCCTTTTTCTACTCCTGCATGAATTTCCATGCTTACCTGTAAATTTTATCCTGTTCTGTTATGAACGTTCCAAGTTCCTTCTGTTTTGTTTTTGGTTGGTTTGTTTATTTTTCTCAAGGAAGACAGTGCCATAAGAATTATGCTTTGGAAATCATCTCATCATATTCTCTATTATTCTTTTTGAGGATCAAACTCTCTCAGATGAGCAATATTCCACTATCTTACTTCAGCCTTTCTTAAAAACCTTTTCTAAAATGACACAGATCCATAGGAGGGATGAGTCGGGGAAGGTGTCAAGGGATGCCAAGCAGGAGGCTGTTCATGTTCTCCCGCTCAAAGTTTCATTGATCTTTTTGGAGCTATAAAATAAAAGAATGATACTTTCCATTTTCCCTCAGTGCAAAAGGTGAATAACTTTGATGGTAAGACAAAGTCTATCTGCTGTCTCTTGCCCTTTCAGAAGGCAGGAGAGAAGAAGAGAAGCTTATCCAGGAGTTAAAGTATAAATATAGATGTTCAAAAAGCCTTAGATAAAGTATATCTTAAGACACAGCAATGCAGGCAAGAAAAAAATTAGGACCAAAATTTTGTTATGAGTAAAAAAAAAAAATAAAAAAAAAATTACCAAAACTCAAGGAATTGACTTAGGGGAAAATTATTTCAATTAAATAAATTGAAAGACCAATAGCTACAGGAAAAGGGAGTTAAATTCAGTATTGACAAACAACAGTTAAAGTATTTTGGAAGACTATCTACATATTTATTTTCTGATATATATATACGTATATGTATGTATATACATGTAACAGTTTCTTACATATACATATAATAGAGCCTAAATTAGAATTTCTCAGTAGGATTCAGGCAGTGCTTTGCAAATATCTGTTGAATGAACAGTGAATTAGGAAAGAAATTGGAGAGAAATTTCTAAATTACTGGGAAAACTGAGGCATTCCCAGTACACAATGCAAACAACTTGCTCTTGCTTTGTGTTGTACTGGGGCCGTGCTACTTTCAATTTGGAATCAGTAATGTAGTCAAGCATTAATCACAAGGCAAAACAGCACAAGGTTCTCAATTTTCAGCTGCACATGTGATTCTACAAATCTTCAAAAGATTACTGGCTTACCTCTGCAACCTGATGAAATTCATTACTAAGAGATCACAAGAAGTGGATAGCAATGTTCCTCCTCCTTTAGGGGAAAACAGACTGGGAGGAACAATAAATGGATGCACAGCTATGAACACTTCATGCTTTGCTATATTGGTTTGTGTGCTTGTTATATTTCACTTCTTACTGTAGTTTGTGTTCTTATTGAGGGCAACATCTAAAAAGTCAAACATTCTTGTGTTTCATGACTGATGAAAGAAATTAAAAGCTCATCTGCCAGGTCATGGGCTTTAAAAGCAGATATTTCTGAAATCTTTTCAACAATAGGTTGCCTCTACTTTTATGTTGTTTGTACAATTTATCTGTATCACCTAATTGAAAACCTTATAAATATGGCTCCATATTAAAATAAGTTTTCTGAGCTACATTAAAGAAAACACAGGAAATGTTAACACGAACTTGTACTTGATGTGTACTGCAGCTCATGTGCAACACCAGAATGAAAATAAAGGAGAATGTTTTAAACATTTACAATTAATTCATAATGCTACCACACTCTAGTTATGACAGAAAACAAAGTTTCTCTAGTTAAGTTTAAGGAAAGCCAAAGATCAGAACCAAGCATGAACTTCTGAGACTTTTAATCCCCTTGCCAAGTACGTCTTTCTGTTTTGTTCTTCTGAAGTAGCTGATTTGTGGTAATGTTGCATTTATCAACCAGCTTATATGAACTTTCATGTAGTCTTAGAAATGTTTTTGGTGACATTAGGAGAATAAATCTTGGAAAACTTCAAGAAATTTTTATATGAGAATGTGTTCTTTATCAGATGATGCCTAGAGACAGCATTAAAAATACATTTAAAAAATACAGGAGAGTAACCACAGAAAACAGACTCGACTTCCTAAGTCTGTAAATGGGTATATTTGTGTTTGTTCTTAAATGCATCAATAAAACAACCTCATTAACATGAGAGATTAAATCAGTGAATGACTACATTCCATCACAATAAAATTTTGCACAGAACTTTTAAGTACTGAGACAAAGTTGAATGAAATATTAATAAGTTGAACAGAATACTGTCGTTTAAAGTAACTTTTATCTGTGTTTTGCAAGTAATAACAAATAGATGAGCATTTGCCCTTAGAGTTTGAAAATGCTTAAAAATATTCATATGAATTTAAACAATACCTAAAGGAAATAAGTGCTGATAATATACATTTTTCTTTGTAGGACCAGTTTAAGGTAACTCTTGGTATTAGTACACTATAATTTCAGTGAAGGAAAATTATAAGTGCTAGTTACCTGGCACTTTTAAAGCATATATAAATTCACTGCATATATACAGTTAAAAAAAAAAAAAGTTATTCAAACATTCATAATGCCTGTATACGAAGAAGAAATAATTAGGCAGATGAAAGACTGTTCTTTAAAAAAAAAAAAAAAAGAAAATCAAGATTACAGTTCATTAAGCAAGTGCGCTTTCCAAAAATGATCACGATTAGAAGCTCCAAGGGTGTGAAAAATCACTGTCTAAAAATTATAGATCTTATTTATGAGAACAAAATGAAATACAACTACTGTCAGTAGAAAATCATGCTATATACATGTAGCAGCATTCATAACCAAAGCTTGATCTCATCTAAGTGTTATGATTTATTAAAAAGGTAAGACCAAATATTTGGGCCAAATTTTTGAACACAGCTGTAAGAATTTAAACAACACCAGAACAAGGCAATTTAATGCATGAGTGTTTATTAAAGGGCTTCAATTATATCACGGTTTTAGTGATGGACCTACTGGTATTCACAGAGATAGAATTTTTCTCAGAATTAAAAAAAAAATATTACAATTACAAAAAAAGGAGATAATAGAAAGGAAGAAAGTATAAGCTCTTTGCAGAGAGGGTTTTCTCCTACTCAGTGTTCCAATGACTGTTGATAAAAACACAGCATGTCACAACATTAAATACATTCCCAGAAGCCTGAAATGCTGCACTATGATCCTCTGTTCATTCAGCTTACCAGTGTTCCTGCACCACTGTTTTGAGCCTATTGTGAGTGTTGTGATGCATTAAACAGCAAAACCAACCACTCAAAAGAGGGGTTTCAGCACTGGTGCAGCCTCACCTTGAGCGCTGTACACAGCCCAGCAATTTAGGAGGGATGTGGAGGTACTCAAGTGCATCCAGAGGAGGGCAACAAAGCTGGAGACAGGGCTGGAAAAAATGTCCTGTGAGGAGCTGCTGAGAAACCTGGAGTTGTCTAGTTTGGAAAGAAGCCCAAGGAGCAATCTGATTGCTCTCTAAAGCTTCCTGATGAGGGGACAGGGAGAGGGAGGTGCTGATCTCTTCTCCCTGGGCTCCAGGGATAGGATGCATGAGAATCCTTCAAAGCTGCAGTTGATTGGACATTAAGAAACATCTATTTACAGAACAAGTGGTCAAACACTGGAACAGGCTTCTTAGACAGGTGGTCAGTGCCCCAAGGCTGTCAGTGTTAATGACATTGTTATTTGGACAATGCCCATGCTTTAACCTTTGGTCAGCTCTGAAGTGGTCAGGCTGGTTCCCTTGTAGTTCCCTTTCAACTGAAATATTCTATTCCATTCTAAATATGCCATCATAAAGAAAATGTAGCTTTCTGCAGCCTAGTGCTGCAATTTATCTAGTTTTTGACAGGTGAAGAAACAAAGTTTTCTTCTTCAGTATAAAAAGTCAAGGGTATAAAAAGGATATTTAAATTCCATATACAGGAGAAAGTGGAGGTGTGATTGTTCACCAAAGTTCTCAACTTATTCTGAAATATAAAGCTACTACAATAAAGTTATTGATACCTCTCTTCGTCGAGAAGCCCAACAGGTTTGTTTGATTTTCCAAACGACAGCAGCTACCAGCAGTAAGGATAAGAAACAACTGCAAGTACAAAAGAAAAAAAAAATAATTGTAACACAATGGTGTGAAAAAGCTTTTGTTTTATGGTATCAAAGGTAACAATAAGACATTTAAGCATGGGAAAAAAAGAAAACCCAAACCACAGAAAACAGAGGAACACTAAACTCTACCAGGATGACAAACAAGTCAATCATCAATGCTCAAAGTCAAAAGCAAATGCACAACTCTAACACCATAGTTGTCTCCTGGAAATGTCATTAGTGTCTCCATCAGCATGGGATAAGCTCCATAACAACTGACCACGTATCCACGAGTCTCAACAAATATACAATGCAAGTTCCACATTTAGTAGAAGGGAAAAGAGGATGAAGTAGATCAAAAAATGATACTGATTTATATTTCTCTCACTTGGTAACTTCTGAATAATTTCCTGCGATGCAGGAGTGATAAGTATGCAGAGAATATAATTAGTTTGAGGAACTGGGTTTGCACATGACAATAGGCCTGTTTTATCATATGAGTATTTCTGTGAGCATTGCCCAGGGAAAACATCTCCAAGGACATCACCACATTACAGTCCCAAAGACACAACAGAAGAACTTAAAAAAATAAATTATTAAACACCTGCAATTCCCATTCAGAGCATATGCCTTCTCTCTGGCTTCAGTATTTTTGTTTTGTAACATTTAACCCATACAGTATTTTTGGTAAAAACATCATTGAACTCAACCTCCTTAAAGTGAATTTCTGGATACTGACAAAAGGTTCCTACAGCTGACACCAAATGTAAGCACTCAGAAGATCTTTAAAGTTTTTGGACAGCTTTTTTTTATAAAATTATCTGGATTTAATAGTTGCATGAAGAATTTTCAGTCGTGTTGGCATCTCTGCTGCACATGGTAGTTTCAATTAATACAGCCCTTTAACTATTGAATTATGCTAGGTATCCAACTTTTTTTCTTCTGCAAAAAGCTTCAAAATTTACTCTTTATTATGGGAAATACCAAGATTTCCTGAAGTAGCACAGTTCACAGGAGTACTGAGCATAAGTGCAAAACAACAGCAATGTCTCCCTCTCTTTTGTTTGAAAACAAGTACGAGTTGACTGTGAATTTATGACCGCTAGAATAAATCCAGTTCTGTTGCAACATCTTTTAGGCTTTTTAAATCAAGTACCACTTACAAATACTATTTCCCAGAAATGTTTTAAAAGGTGTAGAAAGTTGTCCTATATACTGTGCTGTTTAGGCAGTAACTGCAACAGATGCTTAGGGGCAACATCAGCATACTGACATGTTGCAATGAATTAGGATTCTGTGCATGAAGTAAGGGTAAACCACTTCACCACACTTTTCTCCTCCTCTACAGTCCTCCTAAAACCCACTAAATTAGGGAAACAACAGCAACTCTGAAATTATGAACTCAGTGCTTCTGCAATTTGGAAAAGGTTAATACATTCAAGACAGCTGGACACAAGAAACAAAGAGCTCCTTGCGCTGTGTGACTGCTTTATTATGACTAGGAACTGGATCTCTACCCTTAGAAAATCCTGCCCTACACATTTATTAATTTCTTGCCGTTCTCTTAAGTTAGTAGAATAAAATATATTCATGGTTGTGGCTGAAAAAGTTCAGACAAATTGATTCTGGGCTTTGTACATCAGCGGAGCTGGGTCACAGGCTGAATTTTCTTGTTATCAGTCAAAACATCAACTAGTTTCTATGCAAAGTCAAAATCAGAAATGAGTATCTCAAAGACACACCCATAAAATACTATAAATCATTGGAAATTGATTATAAATTGATTATAAATCATTGAAAATTACAGCATTGAAAATGTGACTTTTTTCTAATCTCTTCCCTGCAAGTAATATTTTACTTTCTTCTAAAGGTTCTTTTTGGTTTTTGTGTTTGTTTTTTTTTTAATATAAATAGTCAGAAGGAAAAAAAAATCAAAATTCATGTTAATGATGAGAAAAAAGACATGGAAAATAGATTTTGTCAAACTAACCTGGTTCCAGGCTGTGGTGAGATAATAGCTTTGGTTTATTTAGGGCAATAAAAATTAAAGCTGACTGCGAAGGATCTCACAACATCGAGTGACTTGGCAATAAAGTGAGAGAATGAAATTCAGTGCCAGTGAACTGAAGGCAATGTGCACAAGGAAAAAAAAAAAATCAACAACTAGCTACAAATACACAATGATAGGTTCTAAATTAGCAATTACCACTCAAGAAAATGGTCTTGAAGTCATTGCAGATAGTTCTTTGAACATATCAAGTGAATGTTTAGTAGCAGTCAAAACAGAAAATAGGATGTTAAAAGAGATTAGAAAAGGAATAAAGAGCAAACCAGAAAGCATTGTGATACCACTGCATAAATCTATAGTATGTCTGTATCTTGAAGCAACCATTGCCTCATCTCAAAAAAAACTAAGCTGAACCTAAAAGGTATAAAGGAATCCAGTCAACATGGCTGGGGAATGAAATGGTAGTAGAAATAAGTTCTTTTGAGCTTTGAAACAATAGGGAGTTGAAGTGAGACATGATGAAGACATTAATATCACAAGCAAAAATATAACAGCAGGATTGGTATAGACGGATGCTCTCCAATCCCCCAGTATAATTCTTAGCTCCTTCTTGTGACACAGGTTAAACAAAAAAATTAACAAAAAAAACCTCAACAAAATTAAGCGCAGTGCAAAATAAACTAATTAAAAATTGGATAAAATAGGAATTTTCAGAAGGGGATCAACACCAGAAAAGGAAATTTCCAGATATGTTGCAAGGTTCCCAGAGTATCAGATGCAATCAGTTTGATAGGACAAATATATTATAGCTGAGAGGTCTATGCATGACCCAAAGACTGAAAATAAAATGGTTAATAATGGTTAATGGCACAGAGGATAAAGAGATTGTACAATAGTCAATATTTACTTGGTTTTTTTATACACAATTACTGTTAAGTTACACGTAGGAGGACAAGGAATCCAGGCCTCATTTACATTGCAAATGATTTACTTTCCTCTTGGAATGAAGCAATTCCCAAAACAATTTAGAGACCAGTGTGAATGACCAACTCAGTATGAATTACTACTGGGATCTGAAACAAAGAGGGTGAAAACAACCTTTCTCAGGTGCACAGCAGTAAACAGCACTTGGGAGATGAGTTTATCACTCTACAAGGTATTATCAAAACAGATAATATCAGATTTGTTCTTAAAGTTCTGGTATTTGCATTTTTAAAGGAGATTGGAAAACATGGTGAGAATTGAGAGAAGAATCACAATAAATATTCAAATGTTGGAGAGAATCTATTACTGACAGTGACTTAAACCTAATCATTTCACTTTTCAGAAAGATCATGTGGTGGGTTGCCTACAGTGTGTATGAGTTTCCATGGGGAGAAAATACCAACACATTTATGCAGCAGCACATAAATGTTTCTGTATCATAAAATAACGTAAACTTAAACTGAAAAAAAAGAAGATTTTACTATGCTGCAATGACTAGATAATTCAAGATATAGAAAATGGATGGAGAATAAATAGAGAGTAAAAAATTTAAATGGTCATAGATTTTGTCCACCATTTCTGCCTCTCTAGCAGAGACTCACAGTGATATTCAAACAAAGAGATATATAGATAAATGCCTTTGCAATGCAGATGGTTTATGAAGTGCTGACCCAGAGCACAGAGTGAACGACTCTCTGCATTTATCAATGTAAATCTTCCCAATAAGAGAGCTGTCATGCTAAGAAACACTTAAAATCACAGCAGCCCAAGCATTATCAGGATTTTGTATCTCTAGAGCAAAGAAATGAACCCCCCAGAAGATAATGACATAGCCTTGCACAGTTCCCCCTTCAAACCATGAGGAAGAAAAATTGAAGGAAACACTAAAAAAAGCATGTTTGAAAATGAGAAACTCATCACCAGTGGCCTGTATTACAGGCTGAATGAAAGTTACCATCTTAGTATTATTTTGGAGACAATAAGCAATTCGAGAACAGACGAACTGAAGAGGAAGATGTCTTGAACATGTTTTATGCCCAATAGTGAAGAGGAAAGTGGCCAAGGAAGGGCTGCAAGAGAACAACAGGGCCTAGCAGAGAGGTCTAGACTAGGCAGATGTTCTTCCCAGAATGGCTCTGGGTAGTACAAAAAGGGAAATGCTGATTTAATAGAACGCAGAAGAGAAAACTGCAAGGAATAATTACTGTCTGCACAACTATTTTTGCAAGGTAGAGAGTAAGTTTTTAACTTACAGAGGGTACATTTAGGCATATTTAATGCTGTTCACAGAACTGGTTGAGGAAAGGACAGTGTTTTCCATAACTGTGTTTTCCAGAACTGAGAAATGAGTTTCTCTGTGTGTGTGTTCAGGAGGCAAAATGAAAACTGTGAAGGAAATTAGAGGGTATGTTGCTGCTTGGTATGTGTAAATCGAAATAAAATCTGTAGGTCTTTAAAGAAACTCAAATTACAGGAATAAATAGAGGGGAAAATCTGTGAAATGTAATGGTCAGCATGTTTAGACTAGATGAATTCATGACGCGTTTGTGCCTTAAGCTCCATGAATGCATTATAAATACACTATAGAATTCCATATTTTCATTATATATTAATGCCTATAAGTTACCTATTGTATGAAAATTGCAATTGTGTTAAAGTGAAATAATTCACCTATTTTTGCAGTGATGTAAAAGGTGCTATTTTCTGAACTAGATATAAATATTTTAGGGACCGACATTGTAAATGGGAGGTAAACAGAACAAAACAAAAATCTCTCATCTTTTGTTATTTCTTTTCTCATTCTCTCATTATTTTACGTGCAAAGAGAAATTAAAATCTAAGGAAAACAGTATGTAAACATTGATGCATGAATGACTGTTGTTCCTATGATTTTACTTAAGCCACCACTCATTTGCATAATAGTTCAATATAAATTTCCACATTGAACAAAAGCAAACACTTTTTCAAACTTTACCTTCAACCTAGCATACTTGAAACTAAAATGAAAA